GCTATTTCTTCAGGAGCAGCTGATCTCAGTCAGTGAAGTATATACTTATGATTCTGGTGATCTGGTTTGGTGGCTGGGCAGTGCCTTCTTCTGTGTTCCCAGGTCACGATTTGTTCATTCATCAACTCCTCAGCTGATATTGTTTCTTCAGACTTCAGACTGTAGGCATCTGAATCCTCTCCCAGATGGATGCCCCAACATTGCAGAGAAACCTTGAGTGACTGTCCCAGTAGCGCTTTTTTTCATTACTCACTTTTTTTTTTGGAATCACTTTTTTGCACTTCCTCCTTACTCAGTTAATATTATTTCCTTCTCAGGTCTCTGAGGGAGTTGAAGATAGATAGTTATAGTTTTCCTCATTTACAAATTCAGAAAAGAAACTCACTAAAGAGGTGTAAAGTGTCTAAGTTTGAAAGACATCAAAAGATAAGATAGTTTTCAGTTGGTAGTACAAGTTAGGAAGGAAAGTGAATTAGGTACAACATTTTGGACTCACCAAAATAGGATAAGTAATGGAATATTTTCTCTGAATCTGTCAAATGTTAATGGACTGGACACTGTTAATATAATTCTTAACTGTATATACTTATTGTACTTATTGTATATAGTTTTTCTTATATTAATTATAACCTTCTTTTATTATTTTAGACAAAAAGGGAAAATGCAGTGATACATTGTGTACCCTAATAAACAACTGGGATCAGAGGACAGAGCCAGCCACTAGATTAGACTAGATAGTGGTGGCACACACCTTTAATCTCACCACTTAAGAGATCTGTCTGGATCTCTATGAATTCAAGGCCACACTGGGCTACATGAGAGAAATAGAATCAGACAGTGATGATATATGTCTTTAATCCCAGTAAGTAATATGGCAGGACACAGAAAGTTATATAAGGCATAAGGAAACAGAAACTTGCTTTCTTGAGGCTGAGGATTTCATAGAGGTAAGCTAGTAGCTGGCTGTTCTGCTTCTTTGATTTTTCAGCTTTCACCTCAATATCTGGCTCTGGTCTTTTTTTTTTTTTTGTTATAAGACCTTTTAAGATTTGTGTAACAGATATAATTATCAAGGCAACTTAAAAAGAAAACAATTAATTGAAGGCTTTATTAAAGTTTCAGGCATAGCACTGGAGCAGTGGCTGAGAGTTTTTTATCCTGATCCTCAGTCATCAGGATCTGAGAAAGAGGGGGAGGGAGGGAGGGAGAGAGAGAGGGAGAGAGGGAGCGAGGGAGAGAGGGAGAGAGAGAGAGAGAGAGAGAGAGAGAGAGAGAGCTGGGGTTGGATGGGTTTTGCAACTTGAAAGAACATGCCAGTGACACACCTCCTCCAAGGCCAGGCCTACTATTCCAAGAAGGACATACTTCCTACCCTTCTTAATTCCACTAACTGGGGACCAAACATATGGGTCTATGGAGCTTATTCTCATTCAAACCACAACATTCTACTTTCTAGCCTCCATAAGACTGTATTCATATCATAATGCAAAATGCAGAATAAAGTTCATCTTTGGAAGTTCTTGTAGTCTATCATAGTCTCAAGACTGCTTCAAAGTCCAAAGCCTATATCTCTTCTTAGACTCAAGACAATCCTTAACTATAACAATGTGTAAAATCAAACAAAACAAAACAAGATCACATGCTTCCTATACACAATGACACAGAATATACATTACCATTCCAAAAGGGAGGAAAGGGGACATAGGGGAGAAATACTGGAACAAAGAAAAAATAAAAAAACAAAAAAAATAGCAGGGCAAACTGAAAATTCTGCTCTATGTCCAATGGCCAAGGGCTTCTTCCAGCTTTGCTGACTGTAACACACTTCTCTCTTTGGAGCTGGTACCACTGAATGAAAACAATGAAATAAAAGGAGGAGGACATAACTACTCCTAAAGTATGAAGAAGATTTTTATTGTAGATATAAGGAGAAAGCAGGCAGAGAGACGAGTCCAGGCTGAACATGACTGGTAGACTAAACTGGACCATGAAAGGGGAGGGTGAATGGGAGAGCAAGAGAGTAACTCCTGAGCAAGAGGAACTGGGGCCAAGAGGCCAAGAGACTGGTATATGGGGATGGGCACATGGAACTGAAACAAGAGTGGCTGGGTTATATAGGGATCAGGATAGAGGAAGGGCAGTGAAAGCTCAGACTTTGGGAATGAGAGGTTTAGGGAAAGAGCAGGATGAGAAATGGTAGGAGGAGCTATAGGTACTGAGTGATGTTGGGAGAGCTGGCCAGCATCTGCTTTGATATGTTAATAGGCACCCCAGTTAGCCATTTGTCCTGGGTTTCTGAGACTTAACAACCACAACCTCTTTGCAGCTCTCTTTGGCTGATATCCATGGCTCTAGCATCTCCAATATCTTGGGGTTTCCTACACAATCCAGGTTTCACCTTTACAGCTTCATGCAAAGGACCTTCTGAACGCTATACAGGGACTCCCCTGCCTCATGCCTAGACTCAGCTTCTTATGTTAACCCTGTATCCTTTTTGACTCTAAAGTCAGAACCACTTGGCCAAAGTTACCCTGTAACTTGAATTTGCATAAGCTTTGTCTTTTTTATGGTATTTCTGGCCAAAGAAATTCCTTAGGCTTTTTCCTTTCACAGGTTTTAGGATGAGCTAGGTAAGGTTCTCTTATTCCATTTTGAAACAATCTTTTCTGTAAACTTTTCATCTCTTTGAACACAAGACTTAGCTCCCACATTACAGTTTCTGGTGCTTTTTTTCTCCTCAAACTATACCTTCTGGTATTTTTCTTCATCCTGCTTGTTCTTTTTCTTTGTAGATCTACTTAATACTTAATACTAGGCTGTGTTGAAGTCTCCTCTGCCAATGAATGACCTTAATCTAAAACTTTTCAATTTAGCCTCTTCAGAAAGCAGTCACATTCTTTGCCAAAATATTACAAGAATAGTCTCCAAGACACTTATTTCTTTCTCTCTAAAACCGATTGAGTCACATTGCCCTCAGCATTCTTATCTGCCACGCACCCCAGCATTACCAGAATGTCCCATTAAATTTTGTGTGCAACCACTTTTCTAGTTCAAAGTCTCAAAGTCTTTCATATTCTTTCAATAATAACCATTGTCAGACCTGTCACAGTAATACCTCAGCCATTAGTATTAACTTCTGTTGCAGTTACTGTTCTATTGCCATAAGAGACACCATGGTTAAGACAACTTATAAAAGAAAGCATTTGATTAGAAGCTTGACCACAGTTTTAGAGGGTTAGTCCACCATCATCATGACAAGAAGCAGACTGGAGCAATACCTGAGAAGTTTATATATTGATATTCAAGTTACAGGGAGAGAGAGAGACAGAGAGACAGAGAGAGACACACACACAGAGAGACAGAGAGATAGAGACAGAGGGGGACAGAGACAGAGAGAGAGGCAGAGAGAGAGAGAGAGAGACAGACAGACAGACAGACAGACAGACAGACAGACAGACAGACTGGGCTTGGCATGGGCTTTTGAAATCTCAAAGCTCCCCTCTCCAAATTCCCCAGTGACATATCTACTCCAATAAGACCACATGTACTCCAACAAGGGAACACCTCTTCATCCTTCCCAAATGGTTCCACTAGCTGAGACCAAATATTTAAGCACATGAGCCTATGGGAGCAACTCATTCAAAGCATCACATACTCTATCCTCCAAATTAGTTAGCTCTAGTTTGAAACTCTGAGGGCTAAATGACATTATAAAGTATAATGAATTCATCAATTTATTAAAAAAAACTTAAGAGATATTCAGGATTATTTTTATCTTTAATTGGTAAAAAGGAAGAAGAATTAAAAGTTAAAGCAGACTTTGAGCTGTTATTTTATTATTACAAAGTAGAAAATAGAAGTAAAAATAAATTTGAAGAAGAATGCCATTTACTTTGACCAAATAGTAAATTCTACTGAGTGTTAGTGGAATAAAATACAATCTGATGCTTGCCATTGCATTCTGCTCCTTTTTAAAAAAATATTTTTTCTTGATTTTTCCTGTGACTTTTATATATTCAATAATTGTTTTATATTTTTCTTTTCAGGAAGAGGATGTGGCTATTGATCCACCAAGAATAAATGAGGCAATAAAACCCCACCTACACTTTAGAGAGTCATTCAAGAATGATGGTTCACAAATCTGTGCAGTGACTCCAGAGCTCAAGCTACAAGGAGTGAATTTGCTCTTAGAGAAGGAAGTAACTGAAATTTCACCCTTATAGGCACACTTGGCTAGCTTTCAAATTATCTTAAGGAAGGAAAGAGAATAAGTGTTAATCATTGCCTCCTATAATCAAGCTTGAGGCTCAAAGCTCTTAAATTCTTACCCATTATCCCCTAATAATATATTTATCTGTAGTTATAATAAGTTGTATGTATTTATAGTGAGTTATAAGATTAAAACACAGTTTGACATATATCCATATTTTGAAATTAAAAATAATAATAATTGGTCAGGTTTTATATCATTTTAAATGTTTTTCTTTAAACCACAAGCCTGCTTCCATTATCATATTAGTATTGTTTGTGATTCAAAAATTTACTGTATTATGTAGCTACTATAACTCCTGAACTTCAATGACTCTACAAAGAAAAAAAAACATGTTAAATTTATTATTGCACAAGTCATAGTTTGGAGAAGTATTTATCACAAAAGTAGGTATTTATATACATTGTCTTATAGAACAGAGAAAAGAAAACTAAACATATGATTTAATATTAAACATAGTTACTCCTCTTCATTCTGACATATTCATGTCTATTATACTGGACTGCTGCCTCAATATGAAAATATGGACACTGATGTTACATACCTGTGATATGTTGTTTAATTATAAATTTTTCTAAGGTATTCTTCATTAAGCAGCAACCACCATGAGTTCTTTCTATGAATCTTGAGCCCGACTCAGCAAGAATAGCTCCCTTCTCTCATTTAGCTTGAGCATTAGTGGCCCAAATGCTGGAGCTGAATATGAGTTCTTGAAGGAGAGATCTGCTGTGCGACGTCACTCTGTATGCTGTGAATGTGTGTTGCTCTGATTGGTTGATAAATAAAATGCTAATTGGTGAGGAGCCAGGCAGGAAGTATAGGCGGAATAAGCAGACAAGAATTTTGGGAAGAGGAAGGTTGTGTCTGAGTTGCCAGCCAGACACAGAGGAAGCAAGATGACAAGGCAGAACTGAGAAAAGGTACCAAGCCATGTGGCTAACCATAAATAAGAATTATGGGTTAATTTAAGTGTAAAAGCTAGTCAGTAATAAACCTGAGCTAATGGCCAAGCAGTTATAAGTAATATTAGCTTCTGGGTGATTATTTTATAAGCAGGCCACAGAACTGCGGGGCCTGGTGGGACCGGAGAAAACTTCCAGCTACATTTGGCATACCAATGTGAGGGCTCTTGAATTTCCATAAGGCCTAAAAGAGTTTAAAAAGTGCTATAGCCTGCAGGAAAATATTATAAGAACTCAACTGGTTATGGCAAAGGCACTACCTGAAAGGATCAAGGAATTCCTCCAGAGGAAGCCAAATTCCAAGGAGCATTTGGTGTTATTTGGCTTGTTATATATCAGCTGTCTTCTGTTATGAAAAACATGTGTGCCTTCATAGTTTTCCCAATTGATTTTTCCCTAAGAATTGCTAGCAGCGTGGACTGAGAACTCTTTGGATATATACATTCAAGGTACTTGGAGAACAGCCTCAGGAAAGGCTTCCTTCCCCCCAGCCCATGCATTTTTCCTTTCAGTAGTGGAATCAGATATCTCCCTTAGCCAAATCCAAGGACTAACAGAAATAACAGTCCAGACCACAAGGAGACACTGCCTAGGTCAGGTGGACCTTAAGTAATAGCTTTACACAATTTAGCTCAGACTCCCCTTGCTTACAGTCTTACTAACTTTATAGACCTATAACTCCTTACATAACCACTTCTAGAAACATTTAGTAAACCTTCTGTGCTGACAGTTATGCACAGCCAGAACCCCAGTTCAAGCCTCCCTGTAATTATCATCATTGGCAACATCCAGCCAGGTCTATCCCCAGATGGAGGAAAGTACCTTATCAGAGCTATCTCTGTACTCTCTAAGAACAGACTTAAGGATCCAGACTACCCATTTGAGAAGGCCTGGTGGATGTGCCAATTAAGCTTAACTTCCTCTTTTCCCAAATCTTACCTCTAGTTCCAGATCTCCCTTTAACTACCACCAGAGGCATCCAGCTATATGCAGGTTACCTAGCGACCAAGCACACTTTCCTGCTGTGGGACGGTCTGTATGTCAAATTGCTCTGATTGGTCAATAAATAAAACACTGATTGGCCAGTGGCCAGGCAGGAAGTAGGTGGGACAAGGAGAGAGGAGAATTGTGGGAAGCAGAAGGCTGAGGCAGAGAGACACTACAGCCGCCGCCATGACCAGCAGCATGTGAAGATGCCGGTAAGCCACCAGCCACGTGGCAAGGTATAAGTTTATGGAAATGGATTAATTTAAGATAAAAGAACAGTTAGCAAGAAGCCTGCCACGGCCATACAGTTTGTAAGCAATATAAGTCTCTGTGTTTACTTGG